CCCCAAAACCCCAAAACCCCAAAACCCCATGAAAAAGAAATCTAAGAAATTAAGTATTTTATAATTTCAAATCAAAATTAGCTATAAATAACTCGATTATAAATCTATTAAAATCAAAAACCTGAAAAATCGAATCTCTACTGTCTAACATTTTTCAATAGCATTGGCAAAGGTTCAGGCTATTTCTAGTACTAAATCATATAAGGTAGTGAATCATCATTATTTTCTTCATCCTGCCTCATTAGATTAATGCTAGTTTCATTTTAGAAGGATCTATTCATCTCTTCATTTCTATGATTCTGGCCTATTTAGGCTAGTCTGTTTTTGATGTTCTCAAGTTTCTCAGCTGACTTTTGTGATTCACTATCGTTGATACTGCCTTATTCAATTTCAAAACTGCTATTATTTTACTCTAATTCAGCCTAATTATTTTGGTCAATTATCTGAATGAAATTATCTAGGTCATTTTAATTTCTTGCATTGCTTAATTTCTCTTTGTTTCTTTCATTTTAAAGCTTATCCTACTCTCTAAGATAATTTTTAAAATCTCGTATTTACTTCTTTTTATGTTCCAATTATTATCTCCTTGAATGTATTTTATAAAGCTACCTAATTAATTACTATTTTTCTTTGTTTATATCAGAAATCATTTCTCGTTTTAACTAGATTTAAATCTTAGAAGAAGTGAACAATGTTTAACTGTAGATTATACTACATATAAATGCTAACGATATAGACATACCAGTAAGTAGGTAAGCTCTCGAAACTTTTCTCATTGGAAAAATATCTGTCTCTTCATAGTTATTAGGATGAATTTCTAAATCAATTTATACATAAACTGATTCAGACACTTCTCTTTCACTACTTAACTCATTTTGATTTCTTAAAGTAATCCAAAAATGAATTGACCCGCTTTTATTAGGTATTCCAGTCATGCTACCATTATTCTTAATTAGGCTCATCCATCTTGGAATGTAATTAGTATTTCCAATATTTTTTGGATAATAATACTCATACTCCAAGAGATTAACTGTTTCGGGGTCACTGCTATAAGTAATATTAAAGCATTTGCTTAAATCTAACTAAAACCTCTGGTTTTGTATAATTGAATAACTAAATCTTGTCTGTACTATACCATTAATATTATTATGAGAAATCTTATTGCTAGGTATATTTTTAATCAAAAGCATTCCTTTAATCAAAGATGGGGTCAGATTATAATTTTAAGAGTAGCCAAATAATTCAAAACTAACTTCAGAGTCTTAGTCTACTAAATTTGCTTTACCATTAAGAGCAACTAGGGTTAGATCTATTTTTAGATTTTCAATCAAATTTTAATCTGACTTCAGAGAAATTATTACTTGATTGGTGAATGAAGAGTTTATTAGACTGAAAATCTTGTATGGAGAGTAATACAAATCTCTAGGCAGCTCGATATTAAAAAGCTGACCTTCGCTTACCTCGTAAAGCAATTAATTCTAATATAAGTAACTTTACTTAGGCTTCATTTCTGCTTATTTGATAACAGTCATTTAAACTTTTAATATAACTTGCGTACCACTAAATACATCTGTAATAAGATATTAAATATCACTCACATTGAGTTGATATATATTTGACTCAGCTGGTATTCCATAAAACACTAGCTTTTGCATTGTAATCTACTCTTAGTAATATATATTTTTACCACTTAAATAGACTTATAGCCAACTCTGGTGGTTATTAATCTACTTAATTTCATACCTGTCGTTTAAATCAATTATATCATCTTTCATAAAGTATTTCTAGAAATCCTCAACTTCAAAATAGTATTGCTAGTTTTAGTAAGCTGTGAGCTCAAGTTTAGTAATATTAAGTGCTAACTTATTATTAAATGTTATTTGACTAAATATAGAATATTTATAGCATCCACCAGTGAATCTTGGATCTATCAAAGTTATTTTAAGCTAGATCCTTGAAGGTAAAGAATTTAAATTGTTTTTTATTATAGAGACCTTGCCCTCGATTGTATTAAAAGCAATACCTTTATTCGTAATATTTTAGTTGAGTATCTTAATGTCATAGTAAGAATTTTAATTCGGTTTTGGAAGACATTTTGAGTAATCTATTTGTGAAAATTTTTGGAAATTTGTGTTATCTATAACTATGTCAAAGTAGTTAATAGGTATTAGATTATTTACGCATTGTGCCATTACTATTGGATTGCTTTCAGTTACTTCTATTTGAATTCCGTAGAATCCATTTGAAATCGTAATTTAATCATTTGCTTTGACTTAGACTTAATATACTTTAACTGCATCTGGATACCCAATTATATTGCTAGTCTTATAATCGAAAGTAACTTTATTAATATTTAATCCATCTATGCCATTAGTCTTTATATCAGGAGTTAATGACTGATAATCTGGGTCTAAGAATAACTTTTCAAATGGTACTTGATAAATAAGAATTTTTCCAACTCTCTAGCAATAAATATCATATTAGTTGTCTTTAAGTATCACTGGCTAATTGTTTACAAATCTGAAATAGGCTTAATTACTTGTTACTCCACCAGTAATGTCAACAACAGTGAGAGTGAAATTACACATATTATTATAATAGCCTGAACAATCAGTCATAGTCAAAGGAATACCAATTAGATATTGAGAATCTTGACTCAATCATATCCAATTGGATTCTACTTTAGATTCAATTCTGTAGGAAAAAATCGGTACATGAAGCTAAGAAAATATAACTTATTCATCAAGATATGACTTGTAATCTCTTAAAAGAATAGCATCATCAAGATAGACCACATTCATTTCATTCTGGCCAGTAGCAGAAACATGCAAGAATGAATAAAACGCAATGGTATTGCCAGAAACACTATAAGCAAACCTGATTCCAAAATCTCCTGGAACTTCTGGTTGGCCATTAAGTTGATTTTTCGCTTTCTCGAAAAAGAAACCATACTTATTGTCTACATTTGCCAGTGAATAGACTTACCCATAAGCTGGAAAAGAAGAGTAATTAGTGAAAGTGGCTTAGGAAATTCCACTTGGCACTGCTCCATTACAAAAACTGGTCAATTAAACTATAAGCTCTGAATTAGTATCAGCTGAGTATACCTATGTCGGATGAATCTGTCCATAAATTGCGCCCTAAGGACAGCTTAAAATGCTTCTGAAGCTTTTTGTAGTCTAATTTGTAAAAGAGTAAGTTACATTAATCGATTGTACAAGATAGCCTCCAATTTAGAATTTAAAGTCAATTAATTTCTAATCTGATTTCCAATAACCTGAGTTATCTCGAAACAATGTAGTAGATAAAGTTTCATTAGTCTTAAAACAGCTGAACTCATTTTAATCAACATTAATCTTCATGGCAAAAATTGAATTTGTAAAAATATCATAAGAAATTTCTGTAGCTGTCTATTAATACCAACTAAATTAATCTCCAAGAATAAAAAGAGTACTTCTAAAATGTTTGATCGCAATAAGTTTGTCATCTCCAGAACTCCCAAAACTTCGATAATTTTAGACACTGCCATCTACTACAGATAGAGTAAGAATAAACATATCTTGCTATTATGCTAAAGAATTATAAAATCCACCAACTACAAATGCTAAAAATCCATCATATGATAAATCGACATCTGGGCAATCATCTCTATAACCTCCTGTTCCAAATTCTTTGCTCCACATTAATCCACTATTTTCATTCATCATCATAATATGGCAAAGATTTGATAGAAAAGTCTAAGCTCAAGATCTAGCAGTCACTACTTACCAGTTATATCTGTTAACAGCTAATGAATTACACTAGTCATCATATTATGTTCCAAAATGTGAACTTATATTTTTCCCATTTAAAGTATTAATATTCACAGAAACCAGCAAGCAATCATCTAAGTAATACTGACCAGAGAATTTCAAAGAATAGGTATCAACTAGAACAAATATTTAATCATTATTAAAGTTGATCTGGATATCTTTCATCTCCGAGTACATATTAGTAGCAAGCATTGATTCCCTTACAATAGATTTTGAGGAGACATCGTAATGTATTATGATTCCATTTGAATTAGATTACAGATATCCCAAGATGTATACTCTTGTAATAGAATTAGGATCTGTGATTGAATCAACACATAATGGGCAATAGTTGAATAAACTTCTGTAACTAAATGTAGATGGGTCATTATCAGTAAATTAAGCTAAATAGCATCTTTTACAGCCAAATGTTATAGTTCCATCATTACTTTAGGTATTTCCAAAAAATATTACAGTTCCTGTTGCGGGAGTATTATTGTTCATTTCAGTTTTATTTCCCACCCAAGAAATTGACTCACAAGTTGTGTAATTTTAATGTACAATAGGAACTCCAACACTAGGCTAAAAAACATAGCTCCAATCTAAATTTGGAGTTCCAGCAATTAAAGTTGAAATTTTAAAGACTAAGCCTTTCTAGGATTAAGTTGCATACAGTCCTGTAAGATCATCTTCAATTGATGCACATCCATAAATACTACCTTTTGTATCATAATCTACACTTTTTACAGTCACATTGTAATTCAAGTCTTCAATTACTCTTGTATAACCAAGATAATATTTTGGATTAATACATTCTGAAGCTGATTATACTTGTCTAAGAATGAAAGTAATAATTAGAACTAATAAAATTGGAAATCTATTTGATTTATTCCTCATTTTTATTACTAAATTATCAACATTATTTTTCAATATTAACATTGGGGTTTTGGGGTTTTGGGGTTTTGGGGTTTTGGGG